CTGTCATCCACTTGGAAGGGGATCTATGTAGGAGATCCTGGATAGAGAGGGAGAACAATGTGGAAAAAAACTCAAAATCATTTGGGGGAAAAAGAAAAAAAAAAAAAGTTGGAGACCAGGTTTGCTGGTCCGACAGATCCTCGTGGAACCATTGAGACTATGACCCCTTGCTGCCCTTCAGATCTGGAATTGAACCCCACCTGTGGTTTCAAGGCAAACAAAATACAGGCATGTGAGCTAAACATTTACCTCAAGTAGGTGCACTTCTTGGAGAGAACAATCATGGGAGAAAGAAGGGCAGCTTATGCACAGGGAGACAGCTCAGGGGGCAGGCATGTATGGAGGGATGGACACTGGAAAGATGTAACTATGGAGAGGAAGTGGTAGGGGAGCTGTTGCACTGGTAAACTGTGGTCAATGACAATGAGATAAAGTATATGTGAACTGCTGTATAGAAAGTGAATTTGCTATGTAAATCTTCACCCAAATCACAATTTAAAAAAAAAAAATTGCAGTTTTAATAATATTGGCTCTGAATGTTAATACCAGCTGCACAGACTCATAAATATCCTTACCAGTCCCAAACCCTTCAGAACAGGAGGTGCCCTGGTATCCCTGAATGCTATAGGTAGCTATGAGACACTTTTCCTTCTTCTGAAAACTATTAGAATTTTGATCTGGTTAATTAAGTAGGATTTGGTACTTTACGAATGTGTGTAAGATGAAGTAAAGCAAAAAAGAAGTATTTATCCCATAGGCTGCTTTAGTACCACTCACTACCACCACTGTGAAACATTAATCTTAAGCAACTGATATGAGGTCAAAGTTGCACTGCTCTGAGAGTAGCATTTTTATTTGATACTATGAAAAAGACTAGGAGGTCTGGTAGTGTAGTGCCTAAGCTAACCAGAAGGCTGATGGTTCAAACCCACCAGCCACTCCTCGGAAGAACGGTTAGGTAATCTACTTCCGTAGCGATACTGCCTCAGAAACCCAAGCAGGGGTCACTATGAGTAGGGTCTGACTCAATGGCAAATAACAACAACAACACATGAAAAAGATTTATCCTCAGAAAGACATCAATGACAGGAGAGGCAGAGTTAATAAAAGTGGTCAACTGTTAACACTAGAGAGCAATTTCCCAATAAACTCTTTTGGCTCTCAGTTTCTTAATGGAGATTGATATTTCACTTTAAACCACGAGAATATTAAATTTAAAAATGAGGGAACCCAAAAGACTTGAAAGCAGGGACTCAAACAGGTATTTGCAACCCATGTCCACTGAAGCATATTTATAATAGCCAAAAGAGAGAAATAGCCCAAGTATTGATCCACAGATAAATGGATAAACACGATAGTGTTTTTAACCATGCAATGGAATATTATTCAGCTGTAAAGAAAAATGAAATTCTTATACAAGTTATGACACGCACGGACTTTGAAAACATTATGCCGAGTGAAATAAGTCAGACATAAAAGGACAAATATTGTATGACCTCACTTCTATGAAATATCTAGAAAAGGGAAACACAAAGAGTAAACGTTTATTAGTGGTTACCAGAGGGGAGAAGAGAGGAGTAGGAAATTATTGCTTCAGGAGTACTGAGTTTCTGTCTGAGGTTGATGGAAAACTTTTGAAATAGATAATGATGACTGGTTGTACAACATACTGAATGTAATTAGTATCCCACAAACATAGTAATATTTGTGTTACATGCTTTTTGCCACAATAAAAATATTTAAAAAATCCAAAAACATGGGAGAACCCACTTCTAGAAAAGTAACCAAAAACTTCCAAAGGAATACTCACCAAGACATTTGAAAGGTGTAACAATATGACTCTTGCACTGTTTTTTGTCCTTTCGGCACCAGTTTTCAATACTGACTGGCTGGTTTGCTTCCATAACATTTGTGATCTGTAGCTCTGGATACATCTGGTAAGAAAAAGCAAGTAAAGATGAATTTCTAAGTTTATTCATCCTCCAGCTTTCTCTTATATAAATTTGTAAATTCCTGCTTTCAACCAGAGTGGCCAACTAAAAAGATACTGTAACTATTAGCTTTCTTTTGATAAGCAGATTTTACAATTTTCATTTAAAAAAAAAGGAAAAAAAAAAAGAGAATCTCCATTTAAGATATGCAAAGCCAGCAAGCTTTCAACTTAAAAACAAAAACCATTAGGTATCAAGTTTACTTATAGGTTAGTGTAAATTGCTGTGAGTTCATGAACTAAAACATTTAAGAGATGAGTTTAAATGTCTGCTTACTAAAGTATACAATAATATTTCATCTCCTATATGCCAGTATTGCTAAGAAGTTAAAACATCTCACAATCCTTTGCTGGATCGAATTTTGACTCAAAAAGATAAGTTGAATCAGACCTGAGATCATTTACAAAACTGGATGCTTTATATCAGCAAGTTGAAAACCAACCATGCATATCACACGTGTTGATTCACATCTTCCCATAACAAGGGGGAAGCCAAGATAACAAGGCTGTACTTGCCAAGCTTCCAGAAAGAACTGAGAGCTCTCAGTTGAGACCTGAGAAGTCTCAATCACATCCTACACTTAAAAACAAAAGGTCTGGTGCTCTAGTCATTAGCAACTTGGCCTTAGGTCAAAAGAGAAGGATAAGAACATTCATCTAAGGAAAACAGGCTGAACCCTGGTCCAGAAAAAAAGTGTTCCAACTTTCTGGCAACAGTCTTACCTCCTGACAATACTGAAGAACTTCTTCTTTTGTTCCAAAGCAGCTCTTTGTGCCTGTTGGATCAGGTTCCCATTTTCCAGTCTGAATGTTCACATGCATATTTAACTTCCCACAAAACATTGCAATTTGAGGCTCAGCAACAGCAAATCCTGTTCCAGCATTGGCTGCAAGAGCCTATTAAAGAGAAAAAAATCCCAGGTTTACCCCAAAAAATCTGGTACAAGGCCATGGTCATTCAGCAGTTCTTGATAGCAGAATTTATCTTTTAAAATCTTCATTATTTATTATTTTTATTTTCATAAATCCTTGGGGCTGGGCCAGAATAAAAATGAACAAAGTGAAAGGTCATCTGTTAATATATAAACATCATAAAATTATTGAATAGCTAAAGGTTCTGGTGATTTTACTTAATACACTAAATATATATATATA